CCACGCACAATAACATGCAAAGTACGAGTTCGCTAGGTGATCCTAAGCGACCAATTTGTTTATGATTTAAGAGTAATTATGATTACCCATCAGTGAACTTAGAAAAATATCACTGAAACACTTGTAATACTCATGACTACAGTAAGTAACTTTGAACGTTTCTGACTGGTCCTATTTAACTAACGATTCTTTGCTTCCAAACGAGGACTGTTTTTCTCGACAACCTTACCTTGAATCCGCGGCCATGTTGCTAAGGTCCGCCATGTTCTAAGATTTGGCGCGCGGGAAACTGGCACTATTAACTTCTGGTACAACAATGTTGGTCACCTGACCGATAATTTCTAAACTTTCAGCCTCAGCTAAATGAATTTCAGAACTGGAAAGAGCATGTTTTAGATAGCCAGACCACCAATTTCCAGAACAATGCCGTGTAAGGTTGAGATTAAATGACGATTTGAATATTGCAAAATTAACATGTTTTGCCTTAAGGCGAGGAAGCTTTGCCCTCTAGAAACCTTTGCCATTATTAATCACTACAAAAGGAAGTTCCTGATATGTATTTATTGGAGATAGAAAGAGAGGTAACATATTAGGAAGAAGGGAAAATCCGAAGCTCTTAAAAAGAAATACAAAAATTTTATGGCAGCTTGAAAACTTGCAAAATTACAAGGATTTGTAAACCACTGAGGCGTGACTGGAGGGCAAAGCGTCTTCTTCCTATACAAATCATTCTAATTTCTAGCGTCCATAAAATTCTTTCTTAAAGAATATAAACCTGACCTTTTGCATGAAAATTTATTTGGAAACTTTCTTTTCATTTCTGATAGCATTATGCATTACAAATAGTTAAATCAGTGTGATAATAAGCCTTTTGAAGACGTGCTTTTCAAGAACACACTCCCCAATTGTTTCTCAAACAGACCGATATATTTCCTATAGAAATTGCAAATTTTCTAAAATTCTTTTGTCCGGTTATTCTCATTACAGATTTCATACAAAGGAAAAGAAGATCAAGAAGAGAAAAAGAAGACTACTAGGTACAAAGTCAAGGTGTCATGTTTCGCAGAAGAAAGGAAAATTGACATCCGAGGGCGTGAACAGATCGGACTTTTCAGTTATTCCACGAGTGGCTGCCGCAGCTGTTCGCAAGTACAATTAATCCATAATTGTTTCGTGGACTGAAAAGATCAATTTCGTTTTAATTAGCTGACGGCAACCGTAAATACATATAGGGTGTATTACGAGGCAGCGCAAAGATATGAATTTCATTGTCGAGTGGTAATATATCGTTTTTAACACGACAAAATAAAATCCATATCTTCAAGCTACCGTGTAATTTTCTGTTTATTATCTGGACAAACTGACGGGAAATGACGTCATCAATATCCTCTCTAGTGAGGATATGGAAAATACGTCACTCGAGTCCCGAATGCAGTTTCGTATGAATTTTACCAGTGGTGTATTAATTTTCCAGTAAAACACTTGTGTCTAAGTAATAAAAGCTGATATCAGAGAAACTGACCTGCGTACGAACCAAACAGAAGCGAGTTCTTACTTTTTAAAAAACCATCGCAAACCTTTCCTTTCATAAAAAAATGACTGTTAAATGAAATCTTGGGACAAAATCTTTTAATTTAGTGTCTCTTATTCAAATACATACTCAGAATCTTTATTTACATAAAGAACGACGTATTCTGACCTCTTATAGGAGTGTCAATATCAATACAATAGAATTCTGTTCATCTACTCATCCGTCGGGGTTCCAAATTCTTCTTGTACTAACCCAGCTGTAGCCGAATAAATGAGATACATATCAATGCATGTTGCATATTGAACAGAGACCTGTGGGAATAGCCCTTTTCACGGTTAATTTTTCTCATTTGCATTACAATGTAATCCAACGTGGATGCGAGGCAATTTCGGGCTAAAACTACAAAATAGCCCGAAATTGTTTCACATACATGCTCGATTTTATTGTAATGCAAATGAGCAAAGGTAACCGTGGAAAGGCCTATTATGTACTAGTAGTAGTGTGGGGAAATTTTATGACGAACAGAAAGTTCAAGGTTTGAATTGTTCTTAAAGAAGTTCCTCGAATTAGTCTGAGCTCTGACTATTTCAGATTTCCCAAACTTTATATTAAAGTTTTCATCTGTCATCAATGAGAAAATCGGCTGGGTTCCATTCTAATGTCCTATGGCTTTTGATTCGTCAGTATCGCACTCTTTTTTTGACGAATAAAAAAGAACGCAACTGCAAGGTTCCAGAATTGTCCTTTATGGTTTTCGTAACTTCGTGTTGAACAGCTGTTCCATCCAGCGCTGATGAAACTTGTTGTAACCAAGCACAAGCTCTTCTTTTTTGCTCGTTTTGGAATCATCACTGGACTGCAAAGTCATCATTTCTTGCGTTTCCTCGGCAACCGGCTTGCTTGACTTTGACTTAACTGAAACGGGAAAAATAGACAATTGAAGCCTGCTACAGAAAAAAACACATTTCGTCAAAACTAACTGGACTTTCATATGCTTGCTTCTTTTTTCGTTTGCCTGAGCTATTTAATCATAAAATTAGCCCAAAGTTTGTTAGCTGATCAATCAATCAATCAATCAATCAATCAATCAATCAATCAATCAATCAAT